ATCGAGTTGAGAAGATATCCACAATCATTCCATAAGCCTGGCTGAATAATACTGAACATCGAATTCTTTCGTGCCGTTACCATTGAGTATCAGTAGCTCTAGCTTCTAGGTAACGAGTTCGTGCTTCCCGCGTATATGCTCGAGTGGGTCATCGGGCTGTCACCGAGTGTTGGGAACGCTATGGGAGGGTTGTACGCATTTGTACATTCCAGTGATCGTGAATCAGCACTGCATTGCATTGGAGATCGTGTTTCTTGATTCGACGATGTATGTGTACGACCCCAATCATTCATGTCTAACACAAGGACAACTCGAGCAGAACTTAGAACCGGTGACTGTGATCGTTCCTCTGATGGCTAGACATGCGGACTTGACTGTGGAGGACAAACTAGCCATCGTGCGGGATACGACGACGGTGAGATATTCTATATCGTCAGTCTTTGTAATCTTTTTTTTTTAAAAACATTTAGTAATCAGTTCGTACGTAATTGGAACCGAACTGACACATATTTGTTCATTTGCTGGGGCGACTGTGGGATTTTCGCAATCAAATACATAGAATTTTTGAGTATAATACATAATGTTGATGGAATCAACTAGTTATGAATACAGAATTGGCGAAATAAGTTAACGTATGATTTATACGAATTTAATTGCGATCCATAAATTATTTGTAAATATTTTTTGTAATTATTTTTTGTGATTATTTGTAACTATTTTTCGCAATTATTTATGATGATTCATGTAAATACTGTTTATTTCGATGTAAATACTATTCATTTCAATGTAAATACGAGTTAAAATACGAAAATATTGATTATGTCGATGTAAATACTGTTTATTTCAATGTAAATACGAGCTGAAATCTGAATATTGATTATGTGGATGTAAATACTGTTTATTTCAGATCGACAACAATACACAATGCTCTAACTGTCATTTAGAGGAACCTAACTTGTACAAAATTGGCAAGTATGTCCTACTGATTTGCACAAGCTACACCTATGCGGTCGGAAAAACTCTCCAGTAGATGGTATTCTAGAAGTACTTGGACGTCTAAGACCATGTGGTTCAATGAGAGGTGGCGATAATGTATTGAATGGACGAATATGATCGGGAACTTCCCACTCGGCTTCGTTTGGAAACGAAAATATGGTTTCAACATACGCAGCTCTCCAGTTTTCAGCAGTGTAATAAGGAGAGCACAATATTCTCGCTGCAAATTCTCGATACATAGCCACCGCAACTGCATGCTCACATGAAAAACTCTTTAACTGAAATTATTTTACAAGTGCACGTTCTATTAGTCAAATCTACCATGTATGCCATATGACGTGCACATTTCACAGAGAAGCGCGACTCGTCTAGTGGTTAGACATTTAACTTTCTCGTAGCCTCTGCAGTCTTGAAGAGCTTTACCTCTTGCGCTGGGGCTAACACGCTTGTGCGATTATGTGATTCCACACGTCGATCGTGAAACCACTGCTGCAGCTTCGTACGGATATTCTCAATCAGTGCGAAAATAGGTAACTCTCGATCTCTCTTGAATAATGCATTAAGAGACTCCACGTTGTTTGACGTCATCATATTGTATCGACGTCCTGAAAAATATGAGCGCGTCCAATGTTCAATCCCCATTTTCGTTAGATAGTCCCATGCTGAGAATGATTTGCTTCCTATTTCAACCATGTACCTATTACACTCTTCAATATTGTAAGCTTCAACCATTCTCCTAAACAATGAAACGATGTCTTTGTCCCGATAGCTGGTCTTCAAGTTGCCTTGTATATGATACATGCAATACCCATGATGTGCATCGGGAAAAACTTCAGTAATACCATTTATTATAGACCGTCCCCGATCGATTGCAAAAGGAAGGTCCTTGACTTCCCCGATTACTTCCCTGAGCTTTGCGAAGAACCAACGCATCGACAGACCATTCTCGTTATCAACTATGTTGAATTCAAGATGGTAAATTTGGATGTTGGCATCTTGACATGTAGCAATAATCAACTTACCTTGGTATTTAGATTTCAGAGTTGTACCGTCGACTAGAATTAGGGGTCGCATTGCATTTCGAAATCCCCGAATGCATTGTCCAAGAGCCATAAAGAAGAATTTGAAGTAGTTCTCGACCTCCGTCTCAATAAAAAATGTCGAGTTAGGATTAGTTTTCTCCATGTGATGGCAATACCTGACTAATTTAGCATAGTTTTCCTCTGCCGAGCCCATTAAATCCTCCAATGCACATTCTTTGGCCTTCCAGGGCTTCTGGTAGTTCATGACTACTCCATACTCTCGACGAACATCGTTAATGATGTCCGATGGTCTGTAGATTGTCCGTGGATCCTGATACTTGTGCATTATCTATCGACCAATAAATAAAGCTCGGGCTTGCCTGTGATCATTGCGACAAACTCCCACTTCACAAGTATGTTATCACGTATATTTGCGAATTACGAAGCACTCATTCGTGTCCATCTTCATCGCTCGCAAACGCCAACTGCAACTGTCATCTACGCATGATAGCGTCAACAATGACCTATTCAATTTTTTCACTCTAAACTTGAAGTTGTATTTCAGTGCAATTAGGTACACGACTTCTTGCAAATCTTTCTTCGTTTCAAATAGTTGCTCGACATACAAATTCTGATTATCAGGAACCACACGTGAGGAGTTAGAGGGCAGTCCACTTGATCTAGCCCCCAAGGTCCCACCCCACTCATATTTCTGCCGGGATAAAGGAATCAAGTCCTTGTTTTTAAAAGTATTTGTATTTTCATTCTCGTTGTCACGAGCCGCGGAAAGGGATTCTATGTGCAACTATCTCTGAAATAACCACTTCATCTTCACGAGCTATCTCCACCGTATCCCAAAAATCATTAGCATTGTGATCCTCACCTCTTGAGTCTACTTGTTCATCTTCGACGACATCATTCCGTACTAAAGTCACGCAAAGAGGAGTCGTGTGCTTATTGTTCAATTCAATCAGATAATTCACTTCATCAACAGAAGAAATCATTATAGGTAGAATCAGAACTAATGCATGCTCGCTGAATTTAAATTTCAATTCCATGTTGTACTGAGAAGGATCAACATTCAACTTGTTCTGTAAATCATTATAGAGTTCTGCATATGATGTACTTGATGATATGAAAATTGTGATATCATCACGTTTAGCACTTGTCTATTTCCATATCCATCGATCTCTTTCGTCCAATTCGAAATCACCAAAGCAACAAATTGGGACTACAACCATATCTCCATGTCGAAACAGAATTTTTAATTACAAAAAAAATATCAACAGCAATAAAAATAACTCAAAAAAGGGAAAAAAAGAAAACAGTTGACAAACAGCCGGTCAAACAGTCGGTTGTTTGACTGGCTGTTTAACATCCCGTTTAACAGCTGAATCACCGGCACGCGTCGGGCTGTTCCGACAATGTATATGCAGATGAATTTTTTCTGGTCAAATGCTTAAAAAATTACAGATCTATTAATTTTTTTTTTATCTACATTACCATTAAATGTTGAAATACAATTTATCGATTTAAAAATAAAATAATTTAACGAAAACAAGATTAAATTTGCTATATAAATTTACCGAACCGAAGAGATTGATGTCCACAAATTTTTCGGCTTCCGATTTCGATAAATTTTTTAGTTTCTGTGGTTGAAGCAGATGAATGATGAAAGTGTTTTATTTATTTGTGTTGAAGTAAATAAATAAGAAAAGTAGAAAATGTTTGATTTTTATTTGTTAAGTAAAAGGGTATTGATATTTTTAAAAAAAACTAACTTTTGTAATTGTATAATGCATTTAAGGGTATTTTTGTTTTTTAATACTGGATAGGTCATTTTCATAATATTCCTTTGTTTATAAGTCAATTTGAAATTTAGGTGATTTGACTGAATCCATTTTAAAAGTACCCCAGGGTTTTGTTGGTTTGGATTGTTGGGCTGTTCATTTAGGCCCAATTATGAACGTGTGGGTCATTTGTATGGGCTTGGCAAGGGCATTCACTTTATGGGCTTGGCAAGGGCGCTACTTCATCATTTTGTTGCCCTTCGTGCAGGTCGGAATTTACCAGACAAGAAATTTTGCTGTCTGAGGACCGTTATTATTTACGGCCTACGTTCATCGGGGATTTGGTCGCCAGCTCCCTTGTGATCAGGTCACCAACTTCCTTGATCTGCTTGATTAAATTTGAACTTATTTTGTCTTTGTAACTAGACAAGTCATTTTTTGAACGAGATCAAGAATCAAGATTCCTTTTGAGTTTATGAAGTCACTTAGCCGAAATATAAAGAAGTAGATGCTAAGGTTACAAAGGAATTGGCCAAAGAGTCGACCTCATTAAAACAGATTCTATTATTTCTTGAGGCTTAGTGTCGAAAATTTGGCATGAACTAGTATCTGATCATGAAAGAAATAGAGTTATGAGGGAGGTTTTTCATACTTTGTACCTATGCATGACATGTATGTTTGGTCAGGCATGTGATCAAATCCAAATTGAGTAATATTTCGACCTAAACTCGAGATATTTCCTTCCCTTAATATCGCATTGAACTACCTATTTAGAAAATTAAACTGTTTATGAGAGACGCTTATTTGAATTTTTAACCACACAAATATCTAAACATTATTAGCTTTTATCTAGAAGAAATGATGAATATCATTTCATCTGAAAACAGAAATAGGAGACCGTGGCGTGTTACCCTATTTCCTAGTGAAAATAATTATTTTATTTTATTTTCTGAAAATAAATGTCCATTGCAGATTTACTACAAAAGCTAAAATTCCGATGATTTTCTGGCTTCAATTAACAGGCATTAACAACCAGAAATGCTTTGCCATTGAATTGATGAAAGGTTTTGGTTTGGATATTTCAATTTTCTTTCACGCCATTAACACATATAATTCATTTACAACACTCTACCATTTGAAGGAAATTATTTCACATTAAAGAATATTTTTCAAAATCCATTTTAGTCTATCTCTCTCTCTCTCTCGAAGTTTTTATTCAAATATAAAGCATCCAGATTTGAGAGTCTAGGGTGGCGTTGCTGCTGCCTTTTTACATTACATGGATTCATATAAATCCATGGGACGCCACTGAATTTTTCTTCCAAAAAGGGTTGATTAATTTTGTCGTAATTATCGATGCATCTTCCTTGAATTATAAGAAGGAACATAACCATGTCGACCAAGATGAAAGGTCTTTTGAAAGGTCTTCGATACATTTCTCAGATATTCGGTGAGCAATACTTTCATATTCTTAAGGTCATATCATTTCCTTGCACGAGTCTCGGGTCTAAAAAAAAATTACTATAACGCGTCCCTACACATTATGATCTTCGAAAAATTCCGAGTTTTTCAAGTGCATTTTCTTGATAGAAAATAGATTCCTTATTTGTACATTGATTACTTTAGCGAGTCTTTGATTTTGAACAAATTACTAAAAGGATTTTTGAAGAATTTCAAGATTTTCAGAGTATAATTCTTGATATAAAGTGCTGAAATAGAATCACTGAATTTTTTTGTTATTTTTGATGCAGAGGAAGAAAAAGAAGAAGAATTTCAGATTGGCCTTCCCACAGATGTAAAGCACGTTGCTCATATAGGATGGGATGGACCTTCTGTTGATTCTCCGAACTGGGTATAAATCCAGTTACCATAAATATTCGAATGTTTCCATGAGTCGAGAAGAGCTCGATGCAGAGTACTGTCGACTCGAAAATAGTTACTTTTGAACAAATTTGTGATTCTGTATTGTGATTCTGCACAGATGAAAGGTTTCACCTCTTCAACTCAATCAGCACCTTTAGGTCCCCCTGGAGACCCTGGAGAGAATCCTGAAATTAAATGGGTTTCTGAAGGTTTGATCCAATCTATTTTTACAAAATTTGTTGGTGAAAATTGACAATTTTTTGGCTGTCGAGTCGCTTACAGCACAAGTTACTTTGGGTTTTGTAGATTCGGAAGGCAGCAGAAAAGAGAATTCTTCGGGTAGGGATCTATCCGACGTTCCAAAATCCTCAAGACGCCATTCTTCGAAAGAAGGCTCATCAGATTCCCCGAAAAAGAAAGATTCATCATCCAGCGGCAAATCACGACGACACTCCAAGGACTCGTCCGAAGGCAGTGTTATATCCAGTCGACAACACCAGGAAGTAGGCCAAGGATCAAGCGGCTTGTCCTCAAGAAATCTCCCAGACATTCCCAAGAAATCACGTAGAAAGAAGTCTAAAGAGTCAATCGGTGGTGGATCAACCCGTTCAAGATTTAAAGGCACCTCGTCCTCCGATCCTGGATCCCCTTGCAGTGAGCAGAATCAAACTTCAGGCGTAAAGCCAGTTATAGAGGCAGATCGAGGCAAGAAAAACAGTGATGGATATTGATGTTTTTTCCTTCTACATTTTTTTTT